ACATTGAACACTAATGACCGAAGACCAGACAAGTTGTGGGATGACATCAAGGACATCATACATTAAGGAAGCAAAAAGTCATGAAAAACAGGAAAGAAATAAAAGACCAAAATGGGTGTCTGAAGAGACTCTGAAACTTGCTCTTGAGCGTAGACTAGATACAGGGAAAGAAAGAAATGATGAAGTAAAAGAGCTCAACAGAAGATTTCAAAGGGCGGCTCGAGAAGACCAAGTAAAGTATTATAATGAAATATGCAATGACCTAGAGTTAGAAAACCAAAAGGGAAGACCATGCTCAGCACTTCTAAAGCTAAAAGAATTGAAGAAAAAATTCAAGCCTCAAGTTGCAATATTGAAGGATTCTATGGGCCAAATATTGAACAATCCAAGAAGCATCAAAAGAAGATGGAAAGAATACACAGAGTCACTGTACTAAAAAGAATCGCTCGACATTCTGCCATTTCAGGAGGTAGTATAAAATCAAGAACCAATGGTACTGAAGGAAGGAAGTCAAGCTGCACTGCAAGCATTGGTGAAAAACAAGGCTCCAGGAATTGACAGAATACCAACTGAGATGTTTCAACAAACAGATGCAAAGTGGAAGCGCTCACTCATCTATGCCAGAAAAGTTTGGAAGACAGCTACATGGCCAACAGACTGGAAGATATCCATATTTGTGCCCTGTCATAGATTGAATTGTGTCCCCAAAAATATCTGTCAACTTGGCTAGGTCATGATTCCCAGTATTGTATGATTGTCTACCATTTTATTATCTGATGTGATTTCCCTATATGTTGTAAATCCTGTCACTATGATGTAATGAGAAGGATTAGTGGCAGTTATATTGATGAGATCTACAAGATTAGATAGTGTCTTAAGCCAATCTCTTTTGAAATATAAAAGAGAAGCGAGCAGAGAGACATGGGGACCTCACACCACCAAGAAAGCAGACCAAGGGAAGACTGATGACAAGGACTTTCCTCCAGAGCCGACAGGGAGAGAAAGCCTTCCCCTGGAGCCAGTGCCCTGAATTCAGACATCTAGCCTACTGAACTGTGAGAGAATAAATTTCTCTTTGTTAAAGCCATCCACTTGTGGTATTTCTGTTATAGCAGCACTAGATGACTAAGACATGCCCTTTCCAAAGAAAGGTGATCCAACAGAATGCAGAAATTATTGAACAATATCATTAATATCACATACGAGTAAAATTTTGCTAAAGATTATTCAAAAGCGGCTGCAGCAGTATGTTAACAGGGACCTGCCAGAAATTCAAGCCAGATTCAGAAGAGGACGTGGAACCAGGAATATCAGTGCTGATGTCAGATGGATCCTGGCTGAAAGCAAAGTATACCAGAAAGATGTTTACCTCTGTTTTTATTGACTATGCAAAGGCATTCAACTGTGTAGATCATAACAAATTATGGATAACATTGCAAAGAATGGGAATTCCAGAACACTTGATTGTGCTCATGTGTAGCCTGTACATAGACCAAGAGGCAGTTCTTCAAACAGAACAAGGGGATACTGTGTAGTTTAATCAGGAAAGGTATGAGTCAAGGTTGTATCCTTTCACCATACTTATTCAATCTGTATGCTGAGCAAATACTCCGAGAAGCCGGACTACTTGAAGAAGAATGGGGCATCAGGATTGGAGAAAGACTCATTAACAGTCTGTGATATGCAGATGACACAACCTTGCTTGCTGAAAGTGAAGAGGACTTGAAGCACTTACTGATGAAGATCAAAGACCAGAGCCTTCAATATGAATTACACCTCAACATAAAACAAAAATCTTTACAACTGGACATAATGATAAACGGAGAAAAAATTAAAGTTGTCAAGGATTTGATTTTACTTGGATCCATGATCAACGCCATGGAAGTAGCAGTCAAGAAATCAAATGACGCATTGCACTGGGCAAAGCTGCTGCAAAAGACCTGTTTAAAGTGTTAAAAAGCAAAGATGTCATTTTGAGGTCTAAGGAGTGCCTGACCCAAGTCATGGTATTTTCAATCATGTGAAAGCTGGACAATGAATAAGGAAGACCAAAGAAGAATTGATGCCTTTGAATTATGGTGTTGGTGAAGAATATACCACGGGCTGTCAGAAGAACAAACAAATCTATCTTCCTTACCAGTTAAAGATCCACTTGGGTTTCCAACAACTCTAGTCCTAATTTATTCCAAATGCTTCTATCACTGCATTAGTTTTTAAGGAGTCTGGATCTGACAGCTGTGTAGATGGTAGATGGCTCCTCCCACCCCCTTTTATCCAGAATCTGTGAGGTAGCTGTTGTTATCCCACCTTTGGCATGAGGAAATTGTGGCTTAGAAAGATTAACTAACCTGTCCAAGGTCAACAACAGAGTTAGAAATCAAACCTGGGTTCTCTTCTACTGAGACCTGGGCTCTGTTCACTGCACCCCAGTTGCTTTCAAAACTGAACCTCATGACTCGCTCCAGATTCTACCCTTTCTTTTTGTGTTTCCTGAAGAATTTAGTTAGTTGTTGGCTGCCATTGAGTTGGGCCTGACTCATGGCAACCCCATGCACAACAGGATGAAATGCTGCCTGATCCTGTGCCATCACTATGATTGTATGGGGATTGGAACATTGTTATCCACAGGGTTTTCACTGGCTGATTTTTCAGATGTACATCACCAGGACTTTCTTCCTAGTCCATCTTAGTCTGGAAGCATAATAGCAACATGCAAACTGCCACTGACAGATAGATGGTGGCTGCGCATGAGGTGCGTTGGAATTGAATTGGGTCTCCTGCATGAAGGAGGGAATTCTACCACTGAACTCTCAATGTCCTGAAAAATAATTACCTGTTATCATTACTGTCACCCCCATGGACCCAATGAATCCAGATCAAATCCTATAGAGAGCTCTGAACTAGAGGTTCATGGAGTCAGGATAACTCAATTCATTTAACCTAAACTTTGTGGAGAGAGGAGCGTGATTGTGTGAGTCAAAGAGCACTGTGCTAGGTGGGGGTGGAATGGGGACAGGATGGAGAAGAATGAGGCTCTACTGGTGGTGTCCAACTGTGGACACCATTTATGTGGAACTCAGCAGAGGGGACAAGGCACAGCACAGACTTACACTGGGGGTATTCCTTGCTCAATAGTTCATGGTAGGTCTCCTGAAGGAGGCTGGGCTCTGGAAAGGTGAAATGAGGATTCCAGTCATAGGAAATGCTGGAGCTGTGTTCAGCGCCCAGAGGTGGCAGGGTGTGCGGGAAGCATTTGCAGCAACCAGCTGGCTTCTGTCCCACTGCCTCCTCCCTCTCTGCCAACCCTCCATTCACTGCTACCAGATAGAGCTCTGATCACATCACCGCCCTGCTCAGTGACCTCCCAGGGCTGGCGCCCCAGCACCTCCAGCAGAATGACCCAACACTTCAGGCTGATGGGCAAAGACTTCTTGGCCATACATCCTCCATTCTCTGCTCTCCTGGGCATGTCTGTCTCTGAGCAAGCCTCTCCCCTTCCCACCTCTGCCCAGCTTGGCTTCCCACCCTGATATTTCTGCACTGCCAAATCCTGCCCATCCTGCAAATGCCTCCTCCCCAGGAAGCCTCTTCTAACTCTTTCATTCTCCCCCCCCTACTCTAAAGAAGTGCTCTTGGGCAAGTTACTTGGTCTCTCTGAGGCTGTAGTTTATCATCTGTGGGGTAACCGAAGTTTGTATCAAGTATTATGGGAACATGACTGGTGGAGAAAGTGATACTGGAACCCAGATGGTGAGGTGGCTAGGCATGGAATGTGTGAGTTCTCCAGTATTTTAATATGTAAATCACCTTTTTGTTTTTTTAATTATAGAAGTAACAAAATTGCATGGAAAATAGAGAAAAAAAAATCATGCAGCTAATTCGACTACTGCGAGTGTTTTGGAGAACTTGTTGCCTGTTGGAGGTCTAGGGCTGGGGAGGAGTTTACGGCTGGAGGAAGAAGACTTGGGGGTGAAGGATGTACAGGCAGCATGTGAGGCCTTGGGAGCTATGAGCTTATCTAGGTGAGAGTGGAGGATAAGAAGAGGTCCCCCCCAAAAGGAAACCTGGCATTTTAGGGAGGTGGACAGGAGAAATGAAGGACATGGAGCCCGTCACAAGGTAGGAGATGGTGGCGATGGAGCCGTTTGGTCTGAGGCTGGAGCAGCTCCGGCGAGTGGCCGGAAGGGCAAGTATCGGGTGAAGTGAAGAGAGGACACGGTGGCGCTGTGGAGGGCAAGGCTGGTGTGGTGCGGGGCTGCAGCATCCCAGAAGGATCCTTCCGTTGAGGGCGGTGGACTGAAGGGGCTGTTCAGGTGGGAAGGTGTGGTCCGAGGCGGACCGCGAGTTCGGGTGCCTCCGTCATCTCCCGTCACCTCAATACCCTGCGGAATCGCGTCATTTGCCAGGTGAGCTCCGTCGCGCAGCGGGTGCGCAGGGGGTCGCGTGGGGTTTCCCCCGCCACTGGAGCGGCTTTGGAGGAGCGGGCTCCCGGGGCGGTATTCGCGCCGCGTTCAGGCGTCCTCGCGGTGGGCGCCGGGGACCCGAGGCGCTCGGAGGGGCAGAGCTCCGTTCCCACCCTAGCAGCGGCCACGCCCCGCGCTCGGTCACCGCCCAGGCTGGACACAGTGCGACCGCTTGGTTCAGTAGGGAAAGTTGGGAAACACGTCTTTGTTACACACTTGTCGCCACAAGGTGAGCCTCAGCGTACCGCGTGGCCCTGCTCGTGCGCGGACCTCCGCTAAGACAAACGGGCGTCTCCGCTGTGGAGCGGAGACCGCGGGCCAGCCAGCCAACGGCCCCGCCTCCAGGACCCCGCCCCACCAGAGGCCCCGCCCCTGCCACCAGTCCCGCCCCCCGGGCCCCGCCCGGAGCGAGAGAGAGCCTGGCCGGCAGGACGCGGCTGGCGAACGCGCGGTCCGGGGCTCAGGCCATGCCTGACGGGGCCCATGCGGCTGCCCGGCGCCTGGCGCGGCCCAGGTAGGCGACGCGCGGGCCCGGCCATGCCACTGGAGGCGCAGGATTTGCTGTACGTGGTGCTGGAGCTGGCCATCGCCGCGCTGTCGGTGGCGGGCAACGTGCTGGTGTGTGCCGCCGTGGGCACGTCGAGCGCGCTCCAGACACCCACCAACTACTTCCTGGTGTCCTTGGCGGCGGCGGACGTGGCCGTGGGGCTGTTCGCCATCCCGTTTGCCATTACCATCAGCCTGGGCTTCTGCACAGACTTTCATAGCTGCCTCTTCCTCGCCTGCTTCGTGCTGGTGCTCACGCAGAGCTCCATTTTTAGCCTCCTGGCCGTGGCCCTCGACAGGTACCTGGCCATCTGCGTCCCGCTCAGGTGAGACGTGCGGCGCCCGGACCCCGGGGCTCCGTCGAAGCCCCGCAAACGACCGCCTTCTCCAGGTCCAGGTTCCTGCCCTCGGCCCCCTGACAGGCCAGGCTGGGGAGCATGGGGCCATTGGAGCTCCAGCTCGCAGCCTGGGGGACACCGGCCACCCCCAGAGACAAATGCACCCGAGCTGCCGAGATTCTTTCGAGTTCGCTGGGCCAAACCCTGGCGACCTCTGTGCCCACCGAGCGTCCCGGGGTGCGTGCGTCCGTCTAAGGAGGTCAGCATAGGAACAGACCAACTCTAGGGGTTCCGGGGAGTGCGGCCCCCCGGGCGCCCCGTGAGGTGCAGAGGAAATCCCGGGGAAAGCGCCAGTCCAACCGGCGGGTGGGAGCCCCGGCGCTGGAGGTTTGGCGGTTGCCGGGAAGGCAGAGGTTCCGGCGAAAGGCTGTTTTGGACCTTGGGAATTCGCACTGTCGGGCGGACACTTCTCCCGACTGCAGAGTATATCAGCCTCAAAACGAGGCGGCCAGACCGACAGGGGACAGATGCTGGTTAACTTTGGAGACAGCCACAGACTTTTGTCCTTGCATGTTTGGTGGTAACCCAAATCACCTCCGCGTATTTTTACAGGAGTTAAAAGTGCTAACTGGTTCTCCAAAGCAGCCGACAGCCTTAGAGCCGAAATGCTTTTGTATAACCTTATTTATCCCATGAACCAGCGGTGACCCTGCCTGTGCCTGGGGCGTCGGACAGGGATGCCGCCGCTGTCCTGTCCCAGCAGGATGGGAAGTGCCAGCAGGATTTTAGAAAACTGGAGAACTTACCTGCCCACTCGTTCTTCTACACGGGATGGAGCCAGCCTGCAGAGCCCTAGGTGTAGCTGAGGAATTCCATTTAGAGCACGTGTATCAGGGAACCTCAGGGTCTGGTAAAAGTTACTTACTCTCCATCTTTGGTGTCTGGGTCCCTTCGGCATTTTTGAATTGGGTGAGCTTGGGATCTCTTTGGGTTCGGAACTGAGACAGGGAAAACAGAGCCACGGGTAGTTGTTGTTAGGTGCCGTCTGTTGTCCCACAGAGTCTTCTTGGCTGTAATCTTTATGGGAGCAGAGAGCAAGGTCTTTCTCCTGTGGAGCAGCTGGGTGGGTTCAAATGGCCATTCTTTCCGTTAGCAGCCCAGTGCTTAACCCTTTTGCCATCAGGACTCCTTAGAGTCACAGGAGTAAGAGGAACTCATTTATTGAGTGCTAGCTATGTGCCAGGCAGTTTGTATTAAACTTACATTATTTAATTCTTGCAATAATTCCTGAGAGTAGGCTAACCTGCCTCTTGGAGATGAGCGGGTGGTGGCTGAGAGAGATTAGAATCTTGTTCAGGATGGTGCATTTGGAATGAGAGTCAGAGCTGGAACTTGAACCCAGAGCTGGCTCACAGCTGGCACCGTCTTCACACCATGCCACAGGCTGTGTTGCAGGGCTATGTGCAACACCAGTGCTTGGGAAACCGGCAGCAGGTGTACTGCTATTTCTGGAAGAGGGTGCTTCTGTAGTAAACGGTGGTGTAAGGGGAATGTGTTTGTGGGAATTGACTGGGAGATGCTCTCAGAAGCCTTTTTAGCAGGCAGACACTTTGAGCCTGGTCCTGGTGGGTCTAGGTCTCCATGGGAACAGGAGCCTTCTGCTTGGCCAGGCTGTGAGCCTAATCTGGGCATCTGGGTTGTCCCACGTGTAACTGCTCTGGGCCTCTGACCAGGATGCCTCGTGGATCCAGTTTGGATTTTGAGGCTTGGGGCTGCACAGCACACACGCCTTTTCTCTCTTCTGTGGGTCCCTTTCTTGGTGGCCCAGTGGTTAAGAGTTCAGCTGCTAACTAAAAGGCAGGTAGTTCAAAAGTACCAGCCACTTCTTGGAAACCCTGTGGGGCAATTCTACTCTGTCGTATAGGGTCACTAAGTCAGAATCAACTTGACAGCAACAGATTTGGTTTTTTGGTCCTTGTCTTTTGGTTCTCATATGGGTTATTTGATGGCCTTTTGGCCTTTTTTTCAGTGAAGCAGGGCAGTCCCAAGTCTCCAGCCTGAGCTTCCCATCTGATAAGAGCTTAGACATGCCCTTGACAGAAGCCTAGAAAGACCCAGCTCACCTGGGAGTTAGTGAAGAGTCTCCTGTGACACACTGGGGCAGAAAGTTCCATAAAAGCTTAAATCTGCTAGTTCTTGTCCTGGTTTGTGCTGGGTGGGGTCTTGATACCGTGGGGAGGGGGAGTGTGGGTGTATTAAGGGGAAATAAATGTGAATGACAGGCCCTCAACTTCTCCTTTACATTTGCTGAGGACAGGAGATGTAGATGTAGGGGAGGCTTCCCCTGTTCCTGCCTTCCTGGCAGGACCCAAGGCTCAGAAGTGGGAAGAGGGGCAGCCTCCAACTCCTGTCCCAGGAAGGTATGAGCACCTGGCCTGTCCCCAGCACCAGCACCCACCCATAGGTGTTGGAGAGGTGCACCCGGGTTTCCATGGCTTCCCTAAGCCCTCCTGTAGGTGGGTGCCTGGGGTGGGGTTTCTTTACTCTACTGTTTCAGCTGTTCCTGCTTTTGGAGAGTAAGGCTCAACTGTGAGCAGGCTAAAAATACAGATTACAGGGCCCCACCAAGCCCTACTGAGTCAGACTCTCTGGGATGGGGAGGGGGTGGAGTTCCAGTATCTGTATCTTTAACCAGGGGATTCTGGTCTCACCAAAATTTGAGAACCCTCCTAGAGTCTGGGAGGCTTGAGGCTTCCCCCTTACTTTATTGATATCGGCCGGTGCCAGGGGCCCTCCTTGGGGTCATGGAACCCCAGGTGGCCTGTAAAGTCAGAAGTCCCCAGCTGCCCCCTGCTGGGAAGGAGGTGTCTCCCCTTATAAAGCTAAGCATTAACCAGGGTGGGGCCCAGGGAATGACAGCCAGAAGCACTTTGCTTAGGCACATCTTTAACTGACCTCAGCATTCTACCTTGGACTTACTGATGGTTCCTCTGCCCAGCACAGCAGGGGGTGGAGGGAGTTTGTGCCCCAAGGCTCCAGGTGTGTGGCCTGCGTGGTCAGCTGTGAACCTGGCCCAAGGCCTCAAAGGCTGCAGCCCCCATGTGTCATGAAGTTGCCAAAGTGTTTGCTCACTTAAGATTACAGTGTAGAAGGGGGTCCAGCTAGACACAAAATGACATCTTTGGCCGGACTTGAAAAAGAGGAGGGCCTGCCCACATCAGGCACTGCTTTTTCCCTTCAGAGTTTCATTTGTCACCCACTGCCTCTAGTTGGGGTCCACAGACGATTCCTGACACTTGCTCAGGCAGATGTTGGCCCTGGCCAGAGGGTCCAGGTCCCAGTGTTGCCACTGGGAGTGGGCAGTGATGTGGAGGAAATGGAGGCCCAGCTGCACAAAGCAGAGCTTGGGGCACAGGTTCCTGGGTCTCTGCCCACAGCTACTCCCTGGCTCTCCCTCACCCTCAGGCTGTTTCCGGCAGAAACACTTCCTCCTCCCTAACCTAATCCTTTGCCCCTTATGCCACTCCCAGCTGAGTTGTGTGACACTCCTCTGTCCGAGGGCCTTCCCTGTCCTTTTCTGTGGACTCAGTTTCCCTGATGCTGCCTTCACTGATAAAACATTAAAGCTGTGGTATTGAGTCTCTGGTAGAGTTGGACGCCAGCTGCTTTCCCAGGTGGAGGTGAAGGGAGGGTGTTTCCCAGGGAATGTTTGGTTGACTGGATCAGGGGGCATGTTTGTCTGACCATCCCCAGCTGTGGACCCTGACCCTGTCACCCTCCCTTGCCTCTTTTGCCACGCCTCAAGGCTTTTTCTCTGTGCCTCACATGTCCAGTCTATGAGCTAGGTATTGAAGACTTCTTAGCAAGACTTTGTGCCTCAGGTGAAAATGTGGCCTCCACTTAGCTTGTTGTGTTGTTGTTACCTGCCATTGAGCCCCTGACTCATGGTGACCTCATGCACAACATGATCAGACCATTGTGATTCACAGGGTTTTCACTGGTGGATTTTTGAAGTAGATTGTTAGGCCTTTCTTCCTAGTCTGTCTTAGACTAGAAGTTCTGCTGAAACCTGTTTAGCATCATAGCAACGCGCAAACCTCCACTGATGGTGGCTGTGCTTGAGGTGCATTGACTGGGAATTGAATCTGGGTCTCCTGCTTGGAAGACAGAATTCTACCACTGAACCACCACTGCCCCACCCCCTTAGTTTAGCTGACTGAACTGCAGAGGTAGGAGTTCGCAGGTGTGTGTGTTAAAGAGTGGATGTGGGATACTGAGTATTTTTCTCCTTTTTTTTTTTTTTTTTAGCTATAATTCATATGCCTTAAACTCACCTTTAATGTTGTTTTAAAATAAAACTAGGGAGAAACATTTTCAGCTCTGGGTCCTCCCCTCCCAGCTTTCCCAAGGACTCTCCTCCTTGAGTTCTCCCTTTCTTCTGCATTAGCGTCATGTGGACACAAGCCAAGGAAGCTGGCAACTGCCAGAAGCTAGAAAAGGCATGGAAAGGATTCTCCCCTAGAGCTGTGGTAGAGAGGGAGGCTGTGCTGACACCTCTCTTTCAGACTCCTGGCCTCCAGAACTCCGAAAGAACAGCTTTCTGTTGTTTTAAGCCACCAAGTTTGTGGTATTTGTGGCAGTAGCCACAGGAAACTCAACATGCTTCAGTATAGGAGTAATCTTGACTACATCCCTCACACCCCTGTCCCCCTCCACCCACAGTGAACTCCAACAACTCATCCAGTCTCACTGTCTCCACTTCTTGTCACCACTATGCCACTGAAGTCCTCCTGTCAGTGCCTTCCTTTTGGTTGGAGCTGGTGGTCACTTCTTGGACCTCATTATACATGTCCTCTTACCAGCTCCTGCTGGGCCACTGTGGAGCCCCTATCTCATTCTTCCTGCTCCCCTGTAACTGTCCTGCATACAGCTGCCAGGAGAATGTTTTAAAACAGAAGTTATATCATATCAATCCCCTGCTTAAAGCT